TTGCCTTAGATCCATCCTAGGTCTAAATAAAGCCAAATTTACTCAATTGATCAGATAAGGAAGAGTGGCTGGAATGCTTGTGACTCTGACATAAAGGCTGGAAGAGTGCAGGTTACTCTTTCCCATCTTGGAAAGCTTTTAGACAAGAATGTTTAGATGTTGTTACAGACTCTAATTTGCATCCCCTTGCAAAACAAAAACTTGTATTTAAATGCAAAGAGCAATATCTACTGTGGTGCTGCATAAGAAGGTGGTATTTCCTGTCTTACCCTCTGAAAAGAATAGCTGAAGGTCCCTTGTGATATTCCTTTCACGATATAGGTCATAAAGAGAAAACAGTCACATTTTTTTAGGTTACAAACTCTGCTCCTGAGGGAGAATGCAAGGAGCTAAAGCAGGTATAGCATTAACTGCTTATTTCTGATCAAGGGGAATGTTTCGCATAATAATCTGTATTTCCATGGTTTTGCCTAGGTTGTTGAAGACTATGCTGGGAGGTGGCAGGTCCCTCTGCCTCAGCTGCAGGTGCTGCAGACGGCGCTGTGCTGCTTCACGTCTGCCTGTGTGTCCTTCCCAGCCGAATGTGAGCACGTGCAGTATGTGCTGAGTAGCCTTGCTTTGTGAGTACTTCTTTTTTGTTATTCCTTCCTTTACAATAGCATAGCAAAAGCATTTCAGATCCTCAGAGCTCCCCAGAGGGCTTTTGCAGGTGGTGTAGCTACACAGAATCAAGAATTGCTGACTAGAATTTGGTTTTGTCTTTTTTGTGTCCTTGTTTAATATTCAAGTTGGCTATGACAGTGTTTTGTCATAACTGATGTCTGGCAAAATGAATAATGTAAGAAATAAGTGATCATCATAACCTTATTTTGGAGTATTTGAACACCAGCCTTTGCCAGTAGATAATTTAAAATAATTTATCTCAAACTTTACTTCTGTACTTTTTGTGATGCAATAAGCTAAGTACTTCTTAAGATAAATTTCTTAAGAAAGAAGTCAATTACTTAAAATTGTATGGATTTTTATGTTTGAGTCATCAAAATGCTTGTGGGAAATTACTTATCATGCAGTTAAATGTCCCAAAGTCACATTCAGCTTCAAGAATTGCAGGATGTTGTGTATCAATTTTGCTCTAATTTCAAGTTTCTTGATGCATTGGTCATTTTCCCACATGAAGGTGGGAAGTGTCAGGGTAATAAGTACATAAGGAAAAAGAAATGCTGCCTTGAGGTGCTGGTGGAGCTTCTCCGTGGGCATTTCCTGTTTTATGTGTGTGAAACAGTTTGACAGAGGACTATCATATTATGCCATAAATTTTTTGGCATAATATGACCACAATTTTTTAAGGAAAAAACCTAAAATTTTTTAAGGAAACAAACTACAGAGTTCAAACCATGCTTATATGTATTTGTAAATAGCAAAGCTTGGGAGGTAAAAAGCTGGAAATTCGGGTATTGTTTTGGATGGATACATTCTGATAATCAAGAAGTAAATTGGCCACTGAGTTCCTGTCACCCTTGTCTATTTTGATTTTTGAGACTGGGTTTACTCCATGAGATTTGCTTCCATTCTAGGATGTCCCATTATTTATTCTTCTGTCTGGTTGGCACAGTTTTGCATGTGATGTGATATAAAGGGATCGCAGGGCTTAGTAGCTGCAGTTACCTGGGCAACCTTGCTCGAATCTCTTGAAAATTCACTGTATATTAGGTCTTAGTTCTTGGAGAGCAAAACTCTGCCTGACTGTATTGTCATCTTTAGTGAGATTTCCTTGGTAACCAGACAATAAACTGTTAACAGGAGCAACTGGTTTATTTCCTATACTTAATAACCTTGCTATTCATATCAAATGAAGCAGCATCTGCATTAATATCTGGGGGTCCTATAATGGTTCCACACTTTTGGTTTTAGGCAATCTTCTGATGTCAAAGCAGTGATGTGATCAATCTGGATGGATATAAATGTGGATATGCAGTGCTGCAAACAGTTTTGAAATAAAGATGGAACTGACTGTAGTAATTTTAACTGGGGACTAGTGATGAGGAAATAAAAATATTTTGATGGTTTCCTTTATGTAGGCTGTGAGTAACTGCATTGATAAAGCAGAAAATCGTAGTTTAGACTTATTCACTATTGATTTCAGATTTTTTTTTTGCAAGATCCTCTTCTTTTTAAATCAGTCAAAGCAAATTTAAATGCAGGCATGCATCATTTACTCTAACTAGTTTTGTCTTATTATTTAAGTTCCAGTTTGGTTGCTTGCCAGATCATGATGTGACTCATGGCTGACCTTTCCTGAGAGTCAAATATGCTGCAGAATTTTGTTTAACATGAAATAAGCTAATGTTTTTTCAGAACCATGTACTTATTTGGGTAGGGATTGTTTTTTCATTGCATATTTGAATTGAGATTCACAGACTTAGCCTTGAGAGAAATTCTGTCACTGAACATAATAAGTTTGTATCTATTTCTCTAAGCCTGTTTTTGGCATAGCTAATCATTGGTTAGAAAAAAAAAATTACTTCAGCATAATCTATTGGAAATCTAATTTTATGGTACTTTTCCATTATTCCTATGGAAAACTTCATTTTGTCTGTGAGCATTAAGACTTTTTTTCATGCACTGTATTCCTGAAAATGGTACTGAGGAGAAAAAAATGCCTTTAATTTGCACAATATTTTTTGAAGTCCTGCCTGTCCCTCGAAGAGTTGCTCAGTTCTTGTCTGCTGCTGTTGACTTTCTCAATCAGCAATTGCAGCTCATTAGTGTAGTGTCTGCCTGGTACTTTTTCCAAGTAGAAAGGAAATTTCTCAGAATCTTCAGGCAGAGCAGTAACTGCACATCCACAACTGCCAAGTTTTTGATTGGATTCACTCAACTGCATTATCTGGAAGGAAGCTTTTATAAACAAAAACCTGAATTGAAAGGAGATCTGGATAGCTGCTTTTTAACAACCTCTCTGATTCTGTAACAGGATTTAAAAGAAATAAAATGCTAGACCAATATTTTAAGATTATAAAAACAATGAAGGCCACAAATCAGTTTGAATCTAAGCATCCGTTGAAAGTATTTGTCCTTTCTTTGCCCATTTCTGCCACCTCTTTTTGGGGTAACGTGTGAGTTCATCTTGCTGGACAGAGACCTGATCAGCTTAAAAACTTGATGGTGGTAACATTCAAGTTGTATGAATTTGAGTGCCACACAGAAGGTGAATGTAGTTTTGTTGCATATTTGCACAAAAGCTGTCCTTTTCTAAATAATCTAAAAAAGCTTTTTTTGAAAAGATAAAATAATTAATACCTTTAAACCAGCATCTTAATAGAGAGTCTTCAGTTATGGCACAGCAGGCTGAAATTAGATAAAGTGTGTTTGTAGAAAGTGCCTGAAAACAGGACTTGTTTGCCACCAAAAACCTTTGAGTGACTCCACATGGCACAAGCCTAGAATTCACAGAATTTCTAATTTTAGTTTGAGTGCTGCTAAAAGTAAGAGACTTAGAGTAGCTTCATTTTTTGAATGTGTTTAGTTTGACTTGTCACTACTTCTGTTTTTTAGGAGTTTTTTTGAATTGCTGCTGTTCTTTGGAAAGGATGAGTTCTATGAAGATCCTTTGAAAGATATTTTAGGTTCAATCCAGGTAGTGTTGCCTACTTTCATATAAACTTTTAACATTATTTTAGTAGATATAAAGGTAGTTTTTGTGAATATATGACCTGGAGAAAATGTGCCATTATAGTGAAAGAAACTCCGCTTGTTTATGTCTTTTTAGAACTTCATGTCATTCAGTTAATGACATGATATCTCATGTTTCTCCTCTGCTTTTAAACACTAAATTTGAAATTGAAGCTTCATCTCAAGCCAGCATAAAAATGGATAGTTTAAATTGTTCTATTCTTAGATAGATTGGGACAGAGTTTTCTATGTCTGTGTACAACTGCATAAAGATAAATGACCTTGAATTAAAAACTTGTTTTGCCAGATAAGTGTGGGGTTTTGTTTGTGTGGGGTTTTTTTAATACCCAAAGGGATTTTTAGAGTTGTGCCACCATGAAAGGAAACTTTGTAGGGAAAGGAAGGCTGAAAGCCTGGATTGTGTCTCTGTTAATACTGCTTATGGAACTGCAGTTTGAGTAAAAACTCTTCCTTTGCTGTTTTTATGTTGATACCTGTCTATTACTGCTTCTCCAAATTAATGTGCCAACACTGTTTCTGCATCAGTTGTGTAACACGTGGATGGAAGCCATTCTAGAGAACACTCTCATCAATAAAATTTTCTGTTGATTAATGGTGTTGTTGACACTTTTACAGCAAATAATGCGTGGGGATTAAAGGGAGTTTGACATGTGAAAATCATGGCTGGCTAAAGCATTCCATGATATTACAGGCAAGCATAATTCCTGTTATGTAGAGATCTGGAGAAAAATGGTTGCTTGAGGGCTGGTGACTCATGGCTTAATTCAGTTTTTCCCTCAGAAATCACAAATCCAGCTCAACATGTCTAAATCTGTGTAGGCTACCATGAGGTGAAGGCTTGTCTCGGTGTGTGCCAGTAATACCTCCAATCCAAGTTAGTTTTGCTTTGTTATACAAATGGAAGGCTCTTTCTGAGGACTGTAGAAGCCATGAATTTGACCTTCAACAGTTCTGTATTGCTATTTGTAGATAATATCAGTTGTTGCTTTAAGGGTTTCTGTATAATCAATGAAAGACTTTTTAGCTGAAATTATTGAGTGAGAAAATACTCAGCCATACATGGATTTCTCCGTTTGTATCTTTGTGACTTGGTTTGTATCTTTCTGTTTTTAGACAGCATCTTTTTATTCTTTCTAATTGTTTCTCTTTTTACTCTTAGGAATGTCAGAACCTTCTAAATAAATACAGGAATCTGAACCTGGAACTAGTGACTCGAATCATTCGAGATGGTGGACCATGGGAGGATCCAGTATTACAAGCAATTCTTAAAGCAAAGCCTGTGTCGCAGGAATTAGGTACTTCATTTATCACAGTAATTTTCTAGAGTACTGAAAAATGTGTTCAGTTATGCTTTTGTAAAATATATAGGGTCAGGTGTTATCTGCTGGCATTGCACAGTGTTTTAAATATTCTTTCTGTAGTAAAATAGTTCCCTTTTTTGTTTGAAAGGAAGCTGAATTTCTTTGCTAACTTAAGTCTGCTCTTACAATGTAGAGATCATATTGGTCAGACACAGGCAACTATGGAGTAGTTAATAAAATTCATAGGGTGGATTTCCCAAATCTAAGTGTACATTTAAAGCATGGAGACCAACTTGACTTCAGTTAGCCTCCTGAAATGACATGTTTGGAGAGGATCTGATGTGTATTTGTCTCCTGGCACACTGACTCATTTTTCTCTTCAGTTGTAAATAGTTGTGGCTTTTCTTGGTTCTGTTTCCAATGATGCCCATGGCTATATGTGACAGCTGCTTTCTTTTTATGGATATGTAATTCCTGGAGCTGGGAAAGGTGCAGTGCATAGGAACAAAATCACTGGAATGTTAATGAAAGTTCCTAAGAGGAGAAATACCCAAGCTACAGTAAAGTCTTTGCTAACATGTTAAGCAGCAGTGTTCACAGGGGAGCTCTTAAAAAGTTGTTTTTAGTTTGATAGCAATGGGAAATGCCAGCTTTTCTCTAGTTATTATGATGTAGTGCCTGATAGAAACTCATCACTGTGTTTGTGACAGCATGCTCATTGAGAGAAAGGAAGAGCATGAAAGTCAGAACAGCACAGTGAGCTGCTTCCTTAACCAGAACAAGGGTTTTGATGGCAAATTAACATCATCATGCCTTTGTTGTTCTGTCTCTTTTGTGAAACAACTGCTTGAGCAACAGATTTACCCATGATTTTTATTAGATATTTCAAAGTTATGGTCAAATACCTACAGAAATAAAGTGAAAACCAAGATGAACCTTGTTTTGTTCTGCATTGCATGATTTTGGTGATTATGATGGGGAATTAAGTCTTGATCTCCCTCTCTCCAGCAAAGAATTAGTTTAGTCCTTTGCTGTAATGATTCTCTTGGTCATCATGAGTCCTCTGTGATGGGTCATACTTTGAGGATGTTTGTTTTTAACCTGGCAGAGCAAGAATGAGACCTGTTGTCACTAGATGAGCACTTTGTTCCCTTTTGTTTCAGGCTGCGTCTCCTTCCCCTCTGCTGAGAGATTTTCTCTCCTTTTACCTTGATATCCTCACACACACCCTTGACACCTCTCATCTGTGCTGACAAACGTTTTATTTTAGATAATTTATATTTTGAAAGCCTGTTGTTTCTTCCTTTCGCTTCCTCTAAAATTTGATTCTTGTGAAGTCTTACACAAAGCAAACATCCTGTGCTGCTTTATAGGCTAGCAGTGTTTAGTGTGTATTTTGAAACTTGGTCATGTAGCTCCCTCAGGGGTTATTTAAATAGGAAAAACTGCCTATTATTGCTGAATCACCAACCATTTCTTGCAAAAATCAGTTTGTGTGAACTACATAATCCTGTCCTGGATTCAATAACTCTATAGACAAGCTTAGGCCAAGACAAACCTCTCTGTGACTGTCTTTACAGGAGTTGTAGTAAACTTTCAGATGTCACAATCTCTTCGGAGATGGCTGGAAACAAAGCAGTCATTGAGTTTAAAGAAAAATAGTAGGGTTGAAATATAGGAACAATCAGCTTGTAATAAACTAGGGAGAATAAGGTGGGCATCTAGAAGAGAACATGACAGTGCAGTCAGATGGAGCAGTTAATGAGTTTCTGAGGTTGATATCTGTTGCTCTAAAGCAAAGCATCACTGCCTGGGTAAGAATAAATGTTGTTTCTTAGTGTCTCTCAGGCTTGGCCAGACACTGCTGTAGCTGGCAGTTGTCTCTGGTTTGGGGGGTTAGGAGAGCTCTGTGTGCTGCCCTGGAAAAATAGGATGTTCCAGGACAGGGAGGGAGCACTGCCCTGCCAGCAGCATCAGTGAAACTTTGCAAACAAAGGAGGCTGTAGGAACCCCCATCCTCGGAGAGCTCCTGCTGGCAGTGGTGTAGGCTGTGGAGATGCCCTTCCCTGGGAGAGGAGGCTGTCAGACTCTCATTTCCGGAGCAGAAGTCACCTGAGAGTTCCCCACACCAGATGGGAATGGTAGAGCAGGGTGAGCTGTGCTGTGCAGTTCTCCCTGGGAAAAGGATGTTACAGCCACTGGGCAGATTTCCTTACCAGTAACACTTACCAAAGCTGAGTATTTCCAGCCTTATTTTTCACTAATGCTTGCATACAAACCAGAGGGATGTAGTTTATTATCCTAAGGGTGGTAATTCAAAAAACCAGAGACCTTTACTTGACTCTAAGGACTTTTCCATATAATGACTTTTTCTTGCAGTTCATTACCCCCATTGGACACTGGCTTGCCTTTTAGTCCTCTTGTTTTCTGAGCTTGTTCTCAAAAGTGCTAATGGATAATGGGAATGAGATATTTCTTTCTTACAGTGCATCTGTTAACAAATCAGATTGAAACCTGACACCTTGAATTACACTGCTTAAATGTTCATTAGCATGGAACTCTGCTAGCTTGCATAAAAATAAAGATGCTAGAGAAATCGTGGGTTTGAGGGTAAGGCATTATTTCAATCCTTAAAAAAACCCCTTTTAATTGAAAGCTTATTGTACAAATAATCTCTTCATTTTGGGGAAAAAATTCTTTGTTCTGATTGTAGATTTTAGTAACCATTTCTTAAGTATCATTTTAAGTTGCTTGTAATTAATACAGATTCCTTCTAAGGGATGAACTATCAATCTTCACTGACTTTAAAATTAATAATCTCATTTTCTTTCTTTAAAACATGAAACACTAAAGTTGTAGCCTTGTAGCTAGTGATATTTTAATTTTTAATCCACAGAGATACTACAATCTGTATGATCCTTTATAATAAAGATGCAAGGCATGTCTTCTAGGTATTTCAGAATTTCCAGTTACTTCAATATTGAGTATTTTCAGTATCTCACTTGAAATTATTTTCTTCAAATATTATTGTTTATATTATTTTTGAGAGCTGAAAAAGATTTCCAGAAATTAGGAGTCAGAATTTAAAGTTATTTAGATAGGAATTGTGCCTAGCAGCACTTTCAGAGGAAGATATATTTTCCAAGCAAGCGAAATCAAGGCATTCAAAGCTTCTTAAGGCACTAGCATGTGAATTGTAGTTAACTTTTTTCACCACTTTGAGGTCTTATATTTTAAAGGATAATAAGTCTCTTGAGGTTTTTTAAATTATTTATAATTATAGCTTCAATCTTATGCTTCTGACAGTCACATGGATTCTACTGCTGAGAAAGGAGGGAATTTTTTTCCTTTAAAATGCTCACATCTGCTTCTATATAATATAAATTTTACCAATCCTTTGCAGCACCTTGTGTTAACTTGTTAGAAACAAAATACTGAATTAGATTACTGGTTTAAGAAAAATAACAATTTCTGTTTCCAAGCAGAAAGACAGATTTCTTATGTTGTTTAATTTAATATTTGACAGACTTTTTTAGCAGAGCCTTTATTTTTTCTTGATATTATTTGTTTTTAAAAACATTACATTTAGATATATTTGTTGTTTGGACTTCATATTCTAATTGCCGTTAAATCTTTCTTTTCTGTGCAGTTAACAAATATTTAAGCTCTGAAAATCCACTGTTCTTTGAACTCCGTGCCAGATACCTTATTGCCTGTGAACGCATCCCTGAGGCAATGGCTCTTATCAAATCTTGCATAAATCATCCAGATATCAGTAAAGATCTGTATTTCCATCAAGCTCTTTTCACCTGTCTTTATATGTCACCATTAGAAGATCAGCTATTCCAGGAGGTATTGTTTGTCAGTATACATTTCTTTTTTAAAATGAAGTGGTGCTTTATACTTGCTGTGTACGAGTTGTCAAGAGGAGCATGTGGAACTCTGATTTTGTGCAACCAAATGTCATAAAATCAGGCAGCCCCACTGGTGTTGCTCAACTTAGTGCTGGCTTAAGCTTGGGAAAGTTGAATGTGAAGTGCCTACAAATCTTGTTGACCTAAATGCAGTTTTTTGATCAAGTATTCTTGTAGATATAGTTCCTAAATATTTTGTAATTTCAGTGTATTGAGTATTTTGCTATTGACAATTTTAGTAAAAGCACTTGAGCCTAATTGATGTTAATCATACATTAATAGCTTTGTTAAAGTTTTTAATGATGCCCCAATATGTAAAATGACATTTGAGCTGAATGTGGCCCTATTTTATCACTGATAGCACTTAGTAGATAACAGTGCTTTTCTTAACCTTGTTTTAAGAACAAGCCACCAGAAAGTGGCAAGAATGAACAAAAAAGTGCTTTTGTGTTCAATTGTAATTTCTCAGACAATTATTTTGCTGGTCGTTACTTTAAGAAATATGAAAGAGCTCGAAATACCTCCAAATTCTTTACTTGTAGATGTACACAAAAGCCATTCCAAAGACATCCTGTGTTAATAGCAATTCCTGAAGTTTTTAGTAGAGCAAGGTCTGATTGGTTTTGATTTCATGTCAGCAAATTGATCTAAATCGATTTTATTTTAATTGTATAGCACTTGTTGAGGACTGATTGCAAGAGTGGAATTGAGATCATCTGCAACACTGAAAAAGAAGGGAAGACTACCTTAGCCTTACAGCTTTGTGAATCCTTCCTAGTCCCACAGCTCCAAAATGGGGACATGTATTGTATATGGTAAATACCTTATTTCTGGGGAAGCAGCTGAGCAGAAAATACATGCTTATTGCCAAGATGAAAATCACCTAACTTAAAAATACAGATAAAAATTATTTTTAAATGTTCCTGGTGCTTCTGTTGTGCCTGTTTGCCCTTGTACACACAGTCATAGACAGGGTAGCCTAATAGCTCATAACTCAATATTTGCTGTTTCCAAGTAACAGAAAAGTGAACCTTTACATACCTTACCTAGAAATGTAGCATTTATTATTAACAAAACTGTAATGTGTCACCAGTGTGCCTAAAAAGAGAATGTGTGATGCTGGAAATGTGCTGTTAATTATGGAAACTTGGATGTCATGAACAGAGGTATATCACCTCGTTGGGCTTCTCTAGAAAACATTGAAGATGTCCTCACACACATTCAATTATCTTGATACCTGGACTTGTTTTTAGTGCTAAGAAGTGTTTTCTAGAGTGTTGCCAACAAATTTCATCATTCCAAGGACTGAAAGATAGCTAAGGAATATAATCCTTCAGTTGAGCCTGTATAATTTCTGTACCCAAATGAACATCTGCATTCCTTGATAAAATGTGCTTTGCTTATGTAGTTAAAGCAACACATCCTAGCAAGGTTTTGATAGAGATCAAATTATTAATCTGTGTAAATAACATTTATATTAAATTCAGGAGCTGCCTTGAATTTCTGTGTTCAGATTCCAGGAAATCAAAAAGCTTTTGTTGTCTTGAGAAACTAATGGAAGTTAATAAGATAATGTTTACTTTGATATTAATATTTTTCCTTAACTACTGGACTGTAGGAGGAGTAATTTCTCAATCAAAACCATTTGGATTATGATAATGACATCCATTTACAGTGCAATGTGTTGGTAATAGCTACTGACATTTTTCATCCAGTCTGTCCAGGAAAAGAGGTACAGGACTCTCCCCATAGGAAAGATGAAGTTGAATCAAAAAGGTAGAGTTTGTGTGAGCTCAGTGGGAATTGAATCCATCTTTGCTGATTCCAAAAGTTTCATCTCCCTATTTCTTACTAGGAAATTACAGGTGTAACCTCCATGGATTAATGCTTTCTGTTTGGGGCAGTCAGTTTTTGAAGAAGTGCATTTTCAATTAAAACTCCCTTTTGCTGTAATAACATGTTGACATTGCTCTTGCCCAGCTGATTGAGTTTTGCATCATCCATTTTTGAAATTGCTGTTCAAAGCAAGATGTATCTTTTTTTGTTCTGGCAAATCAGATGTCAAAGATGAAATTCCAGTAGGGGCTCGAGTACTGTATGATACCTGGTTTTCAGGGAAATAATCTTGGCATCTCTCAGTACTTTAATTTATTCAGAATGTAGAACATGAGGATCTTTGGAAGAGAGTTCAGAAGAGTTCTGTCTGTGCAGCTCAAACAGATGTATCATTCTTCACAGATGCTGAGCCTTAACAATTGTGTTCCCAACAAGAACTCTGTGTAATACTTAATAGCTCATGGAAACTGCAGCAAAGCTTGTGAAGATATGACTATACTGTAGTCCAATTTTTTGAAGAAATTGGAGCCAGGTTAAATTAACCTACGGAGTCTATTTTTCCCTAGGGGAGATTTTAGTGTCTCCAGCAGAGTATAAATCATCTCACCTTGTCTGGAACTGAGGTCCTTGCAGATCTAACAGAGATCCAGCTGCTAACACTACAAGCAAAGATAAGACAACAAAACAGATTAGAAAGCTGTAAATAGCAGATATTTGCTACAGTCTAAATGAAATCTTCAAGCTAAAGCCATTAGCTGTCATCTTGGAGGAAGATGAACTTTAAGGAGCTTGGTCACAAAATTCAGATTTTCACTGATGTTAAGAATAAATTCTATATTCAGGTGAAGAAATAATTTTTCTGAAGTGAAATCATCAAGCAAGCTGTGCTTGGTCATACTAAAAATATTTTTTGTGCAAAGTAATGGTAAGAAATCAATTCATAATACTTTGTATCAAAGTGTTGTCTCTTCAAGAAAACACACAGTATTTTGATGGAGCAGGCATAGATGGCCTTCCTTCTCTGACAGAAGATTTTTAAATGCTATTTTGGCTGTTTTCAGGTGATTCCTATGCAGTAAATTCAGTAAGTCAAAGAATCTTTACCACAGGCTTGATCAGTTTTTTGGTAAAGCATGTTCCCTACTTATTAAGAGTAGCAAAGGGTTTAGATCCAGCTAAGTTAGGGAGGGTTTAACCATCATTTCATGTTGCTGCTGGAGGCACACAGTGGTTTTGGTATTTTGTAGGTAGTTAAGAGGCTGGAATGCATGATTGCCTCTGGTAAAGAGGTGCTGGGTTGTGTGATCTCCCAGTAACAATTTAAGTTGTCCCAAAAAAGTCAAATGGACTTGAAAAAGAGAAGCCATTGTATTGACACAGAAAAATAAAAAATACTGCTTCATGTCAGGGTCTAGGTAAATGGTGGTTAACACCTTTTTCTTCAGCCATGCAGCTCTTCCTTCTACTTCCAGTTTTCTGCTTTCCTTTTACAGCTCTTTCCTTGTGCCAGCCTAGCATTTGTCTGAACACACAGCAAGCCCCTTTAACCACTAATGTATCAAGAATTTTATTTTTCTCACATTCTCTGGGATTAGTATTGAAATGGCTTGCTCTGAAATGGTGTGAGACAAAACAGAGAATGAGATGGATTATTGAATTGTAACATATAACAGCAAAACTACTTAGTTCTTACGTCTGTACTTCAGGTTGAGACTTCTACTGAGTTGTTAAGAAAGGTTTAGTGCATGAAGACACTAATTTCAAACTTGCATATGAAGTTTGCAAATATGTAGGATTCAGGTTTCCAGCCTGGTAAAGGCAGAGGTGAGCAGTTTGTATCTTTAGAAAACCAGAAAGACTTTGTGTGTAGTGCTTCTTATAGGTCTCCCTTTTCAGTTTCCCCCATAAGCTTGATCTCTTTTAACTTTAGTTATCTTGGGTTCTGAATGAAAGAAAACAATCAAGGTCTCAATGTCAAGCAGAATTCTAGAGCTGGTCTGAACTTAAAAGTAGAGTTGGTTTTGTCATAGGCAGTTCTGTCATTTCCCTTCCTTCAGGCTCGGAGGTCACTAAGATAAGCTTAACCTCAAAAGGTTTGTCTGACTCTGGAAATCTGCCAAATATTTTGTCAGTAATCAGGTTTGTTTTTTGAGGGAGGAGCCTGCTGGAGTAGCAAATGTTTTCCTTCAGAAAATGCAAGTCAGTGGGTCCTGCTTTCATTGTAATGCTGTGGTGGGATTTCTCCAGAGTCCTAGCTAGACCTAGCCTTTGTGTGAGATCTTAGTGCTGGCAAAAATCTTCTTGTGACTAAAAGTTAGCCCAGTTGCCTTCGTAAGTCTCTGAAATAAAGTGCACAGAACTTTGATGCTCTAAGTTTCAATCAGCTTTATTTTATAGGCTGGCACATCACTTGAGCAGAGTTCAGCACTAATCTGTTCTTACATTTCCTTTTCTCAGACAGGAATGTTATTTAACTGCAGATCATAAAGATGTAGCATAGCTGTAGAGCCTGAAAGTTTGGTGTAACTGCTCTAGGCAGAAAATTGTGCTGTAATAAGTGGAGAACATCACTATTTCCTGCCACATCAGGATCTTCCTGTGCTGCTTCCATTTTTCACATTCAAAAGCTTCTTTTTCTGAAGGACTCTTCATCCTTGTACTGGAGGTGACTTAATGCCAAGAACATACAGTTGTTTATTGCCTGTGGTGTTGAGGGCTAGGTGCTGTTCTATCTGATTTTATTGTGCACTTCTCTGAAACTGAGCTGAATACATGAATGTTTTGTTGCATATTTAATTGGCTGGTGATAGGAGATACCCTGAATGCTTTAACAAAGTAATTAAGTTGCATTTTCCATTGTGCACATTGTGTACAGGTGTGGTGTTAATTAGGTCAGTATTACACCCTCAAATATGATTTTAATCACAGAATTTACAAATAATTTGCTTTAGTAATGCATTGTACTTAAGAGAGAGTTCTAAAACTCAGTGTAACTGGAATATTTTATTCTCTACCTAATAGGGACCTGATCTTCATTTGGAGTAAACTGCAGCTCAAATCTAACCCATCCAAACAAGTATTTGTGGACCAGTGCTACCAGCTTCTAAGAATTGCTACAAATGTCAGAGTAATTTTCCCTTTCATGAAAGTCATTAAGGATGAAGTAAGTTGTGTTTGTTTTCACCTCATCACCATTCTTTTGGTAACCAGTTAAAGTAAAAAGAAGTGATGTTTATATTGTGTAATGACTACTTCTGGTGACAAGTTAAAAAAGAGGGGTTAGAGAAGGACACAATATTATCTTTAAAATTTTGTCAGCTTCCAGAATGGGCTTCAATATTATGATTGCTTGTGTGGTTTTAAGGTTTATTTATTTAAACTGATTTGAGTTTTTCTGTTTCTGCAGCAAGTTTGAGGAATAAGTCCATGGAATAAATGTGAATGATTTTTTAGTTGGGTTTTTTTTCAGCCTGACCTCTTAAGGAAATAGGATCTGTGTAATTGTATGTACCCTTCATCCCTGTTAAATTCTGACTCTCTTTACCAATTGTAATCAAATCTGGAAAAAATTGCTTAATATAACATAAAGGAAAACACAGAATAATACAGGTGAAAACATTATTTTGCTGCAGAAAATTGTTCCGTATTTCATGCTTCATATCTCAGTCTTGTTCTGCCCCATCTGCAAAAATTGTCACGTGCAATGCTTTGCACACAGGCCTGAGAGTTGTTTTCCAGCAAATGTTGCTATTTATCTTTGACCTGACTTAACAGAGCTCCTTCATATTTTATGCCCTAAATGAATTCTAAATTATTTTGTCAGATCTCACTGCATTAATTTGTTGCTGTTCAAGGGTATGTGTTCTAAAATGCTTGTGGTGATATTACTAATTCTATCTGCATCTTAATAGTCTTGTTATTTTAATAATCTCCTACTTGTGAAGCATTGTCCGTATTTGTTAAAACCCAAATTCAGGAGGTATTAATTATTTCTAAATTTTCTGTACCTCTTTTGACTTTAATCTCGTGCCTGTTGGGCAGTGTATTTCTGATCTTTCCTCTGAGTTCCATGTTCATGCCACGCCCCCAACTGGAAGTATGGGATACAAATTCTTCTCATTGGAAGGATGTGTCATCAATTTTGGAAAATGAAGCCTTTTAGACTTCTTGGCCATGGGTTGTTCAAAACTGTGAGCAATATTACCATGGTTTCCATGTAATTCAAGCTACAAAAGTTACAACGGCTAAAATATAGAGGAACTGTCCAATTACAGTGTGAAGCAGCCTAGGTAATGAAGAGGCAGGCAGAAGATACTGATAGATCAGCTATGATCTCTTGCATTTCTGGTTTATATCCCCAAAAAGTTGTCTTTACAGGGCTGCATGGGTCAGAGCTGAAGCTTTGTAGCTATACAGCTTTCAGTGCAAACCATTTTTGTATCTGTATTTATAGCCTTGCTTGAGCAATATTTAAGTGTTCATGCCCTTGGGTGAAGTTCAGTAGCAGGATGCTTTCCTGCTTGGCAATAGACTAATATAAATATGTGGGATGTTTGGGAATTGTTGATGTACACTGTAATTTCCTTCCTGCAGGTTGGTGAAGATGGCCTTCAGATCTGTGTTGAGATATGTGGATGTGCCCTACAGCTGGACCTCCGTGAAGATCCCAACATGAAAAGTCTTATTTATAAAGCAATTGCTCATTTTCTGCCAAATGACTTGGAGATCCTCAGAATTTGTGCTCTCTCCATCTTTTTCCTGGAGCGCACCTTGGAATCTTACTACACTGTTGAGCACTTGTACAAATGTGCAGATGAAGAATACAATGAGTGCACTAGTTCTGTTCAGAACCGCGTGCGGTTTGAGCTGCTGCCCATCCTGAAGAAAGGATTGTTTTTTGATCCCGAGTTCTGGAATTTCTTGATGATCAAGCAGAATTGTTTAGCCTTGTTGGGGGATAAAGCCTTGGATGGCTTGAGTGAAAGTACACTGGAAAACTCTCCTGCAAACACAGAGAAAACAGCAGAGTACAGGGCTCTGGGTGAGGAACACGGCTGTTTAACAAATGTCAGCAATGGGGAGCTTGACCCTGGAAACTGCTCTGGAACCCGCTCCAAAGGGAATGCCAAAAAGAACCACCAAGCTCTTGAGGCATCCAAAACGTTGGATCAGACTGAACCAAGGCACCGCTGTGTGATCTGCAACAAGGAGTTCCTTGGGGATCACATAGTGAAACACGCACAAGCTCACCAAAAAAAGGGCAGCTTCTCCTGTGTGCTTTGCACCAGGAAGTTCAGGCAGAAAGGACTCATGCTGAAGCACTTAAGGAATCATGTCAGGAAGATAGAAAGGCAACATCTTGCTGCAGCTCTTGAGGCTGGTCAGGAGGCTCCTGTTCTTCATGAAGTGCAATGTTCAGGTGTTTCTGTGTCTCTTGAAAATGGGAATTCTGAGGGTTCCAAAGATACTGAACCAGAGGCTATAGTAGCTGCAGTAGCTCTGAGTTCTGATCAGGTCCAAGAGGAGGCTGAGACTGCAGAACAGGTTTTTGAGGCAGTGGAAAACCATCTAAGTGACCAGGATGATGCTACTGAAAACAGTAGTGACAGCTGTTTTAATAATGTTCCTGATGCTTTAAGTACAGAGAGTTTGCCTGAGGATGATGAGAGCTCCAATAAAGAGTCACCCATTCTGCATAAAGTGAATGGAGTGTTTTGCCCTCAAAAAGATATTGATTCTTTGGATGAGGAAGGAATCTTTAAGTGCCCTGCTAATGGTTGTGCTAGAGTGTTTAAAAAAATAAGATTCCTCAACAAACACGCCAGAAAAACTCACCCAACTGATCTGAAGGTGCAGCAGCATATAATGAAATGGAATAAAGGAAAATGCCGCTTCTGCCAGAGGAAGTTCGCTGATTCCCAACATTTTATAGACCACCTGAAGAGACATGTGTATCCAAATGTTTACTTTTGTTTACACTTTAATTGTAATCAGAGATTTAAGCTGTCGACTGAGCTTGCAGAACATACGAAAAGTCACAGTGTGTTTAAAGCTCAGTGCAATTTCTCAAACTGCTGTGAGCTATTTGAGGAGCTTCCTTTGCTGTATGAACACGAGGCTCAGCATTATTTAAATAAAACCCCAGAATATTCGGAAGATGCAAGTGAAAAAGATTCTTCAGATGATCCTTCAGAACTTTGTAGTTACCAAGATGATGATGAATCTGTTAATGAAAAAGAAACTGTAGATTTACCAATTCCAACCTGGAAGTCAAGGAAGGATTCTGCAGAACCAAAGACATATATTCAAAGTGTGGAGAAGAAAGCAAATAATGTAATTCACAATGGAAATGAAAGCTCATCCGAGGGTAGTGCTCCAGTTTTAAGTTTGATAGACCAAAAGACACCTGTGTTACAGCCAAATCCTGAAAACTGTAATGTTGTTAGTGACCAACTGGTCAATGGGCACAGTGACTCAGATCAGACATCATCTAAGGCAGCCCAGGTACCTTTGGACAGAGTAGCAGATGAAACAAGGACAGAAAATGGGTCAGTGTTACCAGTTTTACAGAATTGTCACGATGCACCACAAAATAATGCTCCTGCAGCCTCACAAGTACCTTCTAAACCAAATCAGACAACAGAGACTACTTCATATGGTGTCATCTTAACAAAACCCTACGTCAGACCATTGCCTCCCAGTTACCTTGATGAACGTTACATTAGCATGCCAAAACGGAGAAAAATTTTGGCTGATGAAGTAGATGCTTACTCTGAACAAGACAAAATTTGTAGCAAATCAACAGAAAGATTTAGATGTGGCAACTGCTTGACCATCTACTGTAATTCAGAAGCACTCGAGGCTCACCTTGCACAAAAGAAGTGTCAGACGCTCTTTGGATTCGATTCAGATGATGAAAGTAAGTCCTGCAGTCCTTCCATGCTGGTTTCTTTGGCAGTCAATAGCAATCAGAAAATGGTCTTTGAAAACAGGAATAGGTAAGACGCACTAACTAAATCACTGTACTCTGCTAAATTGGAAGCTGAAATTGGACATGCTGTTCAGAATCAGAAAGTGGTGAGAATTTGTAGGCAAACTAATGGAAAAGATTTCTGATAAAACAAAATGGGGTTAATTCAATCTGTCTTTCCTTGCGTGTTTGAAACTAAACATGGTGAAAAACATAAGCAGTGTTCTAGATTTAGGAATTATTTACATTCTGATCTTTTGTCTTTTACAGGTGCCTGATTCAATGTTGTGGAAAAGTATCAGATGAGAAGTGGTGTAAGGAAACACTACATGAAGCAGCATCAGTTTGTTTCCCAGTTGGCCTTAATAATGAAGCAGTCTCAAATTCCTATAGAAAAACATGACCTTGATAAGGAGAAAGCACATTTTCTAGACAAAACTCACAAAGAAGTAATAGGAGCTCTGCAGGTCTTGAGTCCAGAAAAGTTGCTACAAAACCCCCAAAGTACCAGTTATCCAAAAAAGCCATGTTCATTCCAAAAATATGATTGAAGCTTAATGGCACAGCTTTTCTATCATGAAGGTTGCAGGACAATGAGGCATAGAGGTGAGCAGGCAGAGGAAGCAGAGGTGTTCATTGCCTTGTGGAAATCCAACCAGCCAGTTCTGAAAGCTGCTTTAGTTTGTGTGGTTAATGGCTATCTTTCCACACAGCTGAGAAGGAATCATTCAAGGAGGTGTTGCATTCTTACCTTATGGATAAATGCATAAAGAAACCATGCATTATTTTTTTTTTTCTCCAAGTCTGAGTGTGTAAGTCCATTATCTGCTCAAAAGCATGGAGCTTGTTTCATAAACTTCTACTCAGAATCCAAAGAGGAATGTGGAAGGAAATCTTGAAGTAGATGGGATGCTGGAATAGCCAAAAACTTGAAATACAGAACAAGCAGGAAAAAGTGAGTTAATGTGATATTTTATGAGACTTGCACACAGTGGAAATCAGATGCGTGCAAGAGAAGCCTTTTGCAAGGCTGAGGTAAAAGTGACTCCTGTAAAACATCTGCTGTAGGTGTGGGAAGACCAACACAAGTGATAGATTGCGTGGATATTAACAGCAGCTGATGGAAGCAAATCTGGAATGCTGGGAGGGTCAAGCTTGCAGAGTTAAACTAATATTCTGCAAGCACAGAGGTCCCTCAGCTGTTGGTAGGAAAGACAAGAGCTTGAGAAGGCAAAACAGAAGCAGAGCACATCAGGTTGGGGTGAACAGAAAGGTCAGGAAGAGCCTGTTTCACATCTGTTATGTTGCTTAATGGTGGTGGGCCACAACTCAGTACTGTCACTAATTATTCATTGTCTAGAAGGGAGAAAACAGGGATCCTCTCAATTCCGAAGACATGTTACAATCCTATTTAGTAGCATCCCTTGAAAGGAGAGCCTTTCCCAGAGGCTGGTGAAGGAGTTACTTAAATGTTAAGCACTTTATTTACAATTCACTGTTCATAGAAACAATCACAATGTGAAGACAGGAAATAGGAGTTCTTCAATTCTATATGGAAAACTGAAATACAGAAGAATTTTGAAACCAAAAAGATGCTGTTGTAGATTTTGGTCTTCCTACCCTAAGGCAGAGGTGTGGCAAACATGCATATTGTCCAGTTACTATGCTAATTTATCCTCTAATTTATCTCACACTGTCTTGCCATGTAATATTTTTTTTATTTGGGATCCTGGTCTATGAAAATGGTAGTGGGATTGCAGGCAGGGGAGGCAGAGGGGTGAGAACTGATGTTCAGAGTCATTTCAGAAATGTAGGACAGCACAGAAACAACTGTTCCTGCTCAGCTGTCGCTGAAGAGTTTGTTACAGTGTATGCAGGGCTTAAATCAACAGCTGGGTGAAAATTATTGAGGAAAAAATCAGGGGTTGCATTAAACCCCTGTTCATTGTAGCAATGGCTGACTCTTGCAAACCCAAGGGTTTCTCTGTAAGATTGGCTGTGAAGTAGTTCTGGAACATAAACTCAGTAGTTCAGTAATGCCTCTGCTAATAATCCTCTGTGGGAGTAAACAGGTATTTGCATTAATTCTGCTTTCTTTCCCCTTCCTGCAAGGTAAAAAGGATGCTAATTCAAAATCATGCTCTTGAGTTCTAGAAGAGTTTTGCCTTAACTTTGAGTTGGATTAACATAAAAGGTTATAAAATTATGATCACAGGTATGTGTGCATTACATGAATCCCAGTTATGGCCCACTTCCAGAGATTTGTATGATATTTGAGGCACCAAAGAATTTTTTTTTTTTGCAGTTGCAAAATACCTACTTTAAATGCATCATTCATTATATATACATATATACACACTATATATATATTTACATGTATAAATACATTAAAAGTTTTAAACATGAAGTTAACAGGGTCCTTATCAGACAAATGCACTTTCACATTTTTTACTTTCAAGATACCAACTAACTTTTAAGGACCCGGGTACTGTGCTGAATGTTCCCAGTCTCTCCCTTCTTTGCTTGACATGGCTTAAATATATTTGGGGGGGAAAAAGATAATTTTCAAGTATTACAGTTCTGAAAATCTAAAAAGTGAGTCAACAAAAAATACAACAAAGATGTTTGTGTCAAATCTTTTTAATGTATCTTTTTTCTTTGGTGCTTTTTTGCCTTTTCCCTTGAGCTCCTTATGTCTGAAGATGCTTTAAAAACATGATTGAGATTTGTATTATCTTTGGTTTAAGTCTGTAGATAAACACATCTGTGTACATACATAAACTGTGACCATAATTTTTTGTACCTTCATTAAAGTCATTTTTGTTCCAAGATGGTTTTCTGGGACACCACCATTTGTTTCTCTCATGTATTTAGTGTGTACACTAAGCCTGCAACTTCTAAGGCTGAAAACAGATTACAGGTCTTGAAAGTTGGAGGTTTTTCAGTTGATTTTTTTTTCCCCAGGCATTAAGCATTGTGTGATATAATTGGAAATCCTTGAAGATGTAGCACTTTGATTCAATAAATCCTGAAGTACATGTGTAATGTAAACCTCCAGCTACCCTAAAGCTGTCTGAAGTTATCCATGATCTTAGGAGCCTTGTTGGATCAAAGTTAGTGCAATTCAGTGCTCATAACTGTATTTAATAACATTCCTCCAGTTGGATTTGGACTTTGCTTTTAAGAGTGTCTCCTCTAACCCCATTATGTTTTACTGTAAAGGTCATGTAATTTCTAATTCCAAAAAGCTGCCACTTGGTATAGGCACCTTTTCACAAAAAAAAAGGAATACTGAAAGTAGGTTGCAAGTGGTCATATCTGTGGGACAAGGTCACTGGTACTTTGGTTATTTAGCCATATTCATAAAAATTATATGAATTGTATAGTTTGGATAATTTATAACATTAAACTTTGTGATTTTACTATCACATGGAAGGTTCAGCTGTACTCATTTCTTTTATTGTTTAACACCAGTGCTATGGACAAAAGACCCAACAGGGGTGGTAGTGTTACTATTTTCTTAATTTATTTGGTACTGTATAACACCTTTCTGATTAAATGCAGTGTATGCATTTTGGGACTCTTAATTTGTAAAAGCTGTTACAGGTTCAGCAAGAAAGGAAATTTGTGCTTCCTTGTTGAATGTTAAATTATTTTACTTTGCATTTTATATAAGAGTACAAATTAAAACTGAGCCATCAAACTGCAATAAATCTACAGTAGTGTTTCATTTTAAAGACCTTTTGTACTGTACATAGATTTGTTCAATAAAACATTGTCTTTGTTGTTGATAGAAACTGATCTTGTCTTTTGGAGAATCACTCTGGAAATGCTACTGTGAAGTTCAGAGCTACTGTGTTATGTTTAGTACGTGATGGTTGCATGGCACCTGTGTGAAGATGCCAGGTCTTGATGTTCCAGGTCTGTGGATATTTGGATTTGAACAGACCAAGCTTCAAAATGGGGGCATCAGTTAATTTCTAGGACTCAAAATCCAAATTTGGGTCCACAGACAAGTCTGGTTGCAGCTATTTTAAGATACTTCTGCTTCTGGTTGGTTGTTGGGTCCAGACGGAAAGACAGTGTAGCTGCTTTTTGCTTTTGCTTCAGGAAGCTCAATACTGCCACCTGAAATAATTTAGATTTATTATTCACACCCCTGTAATTTCCTAGGGTATTTTTGACTGTATTTTGTGTGTGTAACTTCAGACTTACCTTTGTTTTCTACTGTGGATAATTTTGACAAGGTCCTTGCCCTGAGGAATTGAATTTGTGGGTATGAGGCTGAGGGACCTCAGTACATTCTGCCAGCAAAAATATTTATCAAAATGGCAATGTGTACATAAGACATTTAATAAATTAATTGTTAAATATATTAACACCAAGTATAAACTACTTTGCTCCTCCTCAGATGGACAGGAGACAGGAAATACAACAAAAGCCCTTGTAGTAACTCCTTGAATTACAACAGCAATTTATTTTTACAAGATAACTGTTCACCTTTTGGTCTATATAGGTTAATAATTTTCCTGTTTCTTCCCCTTTGGGAATGCCAGTTCCTGCTCAATGCTCAAGTCAAAAGTTTGAATAAAAACTCGAAAAGGAATGTTGAGTTATGAGAAAGAGAAATAAATAAAACCTAATTCTGAGGGGAAGGATTTACAAAGTAAAATATAAATGTATTAGAAATAATTTTAAATAATCCTGCTGAAAGGGCTGGTCTTGGTTTAGAACAGGAAAGGGGTTGTGGGGAGACATCAGAACTGAATATTGAAAAGTCTCTCCAATATCTCTGATGCCACTGCACTTTTTCCTCTCTAAGGATTAATGGGAATGTGACTATTCCGAAGAAACCTCTCCTTGCCTTCCCCTCCCACCGTCTAATTTCTTACTGCAAACACCTCAGTCTAATTCTTAAAATGGGATCTTGATGGTAGTTTTTTTTATTTCCTGAATTCCAGATGAATTGGATAGGTATTACACCTAGAAGGCTGCAAATCTAAATAAAGGTTTATTGAAACATAAGCAAAATGAATCAGAGTTAATTTATATTTCTCAGATGCATTGTCTAATTTGTAGATTGCAGGATAGATACTAATCAAGAATATTAAATCATTGTGCATGTGAGGGGAAGTTTGGCACAGAAGACAATAAGCATTATTATGTTAAAGCCTTCCAGATGCTTCAAGACTGAATTTGAATCTGAATGTTGAACATAAAATTCATGGGCAAATTTTGTTCAGCTGTTTCTGGCTTATATGGAATTCATTGCTGCAGCTCAGGAGAACAGGTCTTAGCTGAATGTGTGTTGGTTTTCCTTCTGATTAACCTGGGACATCTGCATGGGCTTTTTTTCAATCTCAAAGAGGAAATTATCTCTAAAATACAGGGATAAGGAATGTGTCCTCTATTCTCATCAGTGTTCTATTGTAGGGTTACCAAATCTTGGTGGCAGGCATTCCTTACTACAGCTCTGAACAAAGCCCACTGTAATGATAAGTTGAGTTGTTTGTGCAAAAGCATCATCAGTAATTCAAATGTGGTTCTTTTGTGTATCTTTAGAGGATCTGGGTGTTCCTGGGTTTGAAATCACAGGCAGCTTTAGCCCAAAGAGTTGGTCTCCTTACACATCCCTATTAAAGCATGGGGTGGAGAAGAGTGTTTCCTTTAACAGGTGCTGTGCTGTTGGATTTCCAAGTCCTGGGGAGATTCATCACTGGGCACATGCCTCAGTCACAAGCGGATGACTCTGGTCACCAGTGACCAATGGTAGGAATAATAGAATGACATCAGAGAATATCCTGATCTGGATGGGAGCCCCAAGGGCCACCGAATCCAACTCCTGGCCCTGCACAGGACTGACATTCACACCCTGTGCTAAGAGCATTCCTTGTCAGGATGCTGCTTGAACTCTGCCAGGCTGGTGCTGGGGAGAACCTTTTTCAAACTTCCAGCCTAATCCTTCCCTGACACTTCAGGTCATTCCCTGATCAGCATCTGACCCTGCTCTTCCCCTCACAAGGGTGCTGCAACTGCACTGAGGCCTCCTTGTCCAGCTGAAGAGACCAAGCCCTCCTCATACGCCTTCTCCTCCAGCCCCTTCCCCATCTTTGTTGCCCTCCCTTGGACGCTCTCTAATGGCTTTATAACCATATAGCTCAGTGCTGCCCCAGCACTGGAGGTGAGGTCATGCCGGCCCGGAGCAGAGCGGGACAATCCCCTGGCTGTCCCTGATGTCCCCAGGACAATCCCCTGGCTGGCTCCGCTGTCCCTCATGCTCCTAGGACAATCCCCACTGGCCGTGCTGTCCCTCATGTTCCCAGGACAATCCCCCACTGGCCGTGCTGTCCCTGATGTCCCCAGGACAGTCCCCGCTGGCCGTGCTGTCCCTGTTGTCCCCAGGAGAAGGACTATCGCCCCCGGCTCCAGGGCCGGTTCCCATCCGCTGGCCGTGGGCCAGGAGCCACAGATCCCTTTCCATGCTCTGCAGCGCGTCCCCGGCGCCCGGCAGGCCTGGGGGCGGCCGGCAGGGAAGGACACCGGCCGCTCGGAGCCCGCCGTGCCTACGGCACCCCATGTCTCCGCTGAATCCCGCCTCCCTCCCTGCCGCTCTGCCGCCCCCGGCCGTTCCTCCGCGCGGAACCTCGGAGCCGGCCGCTCTTTCCGGCCGGCGCCGCCGCCGCAGCGCGCGGCCGGGCGGGGCGGCCATGGCGGGCGCGGGGCTGAGCGAGCGGGAGCGGGCGGGCTGCCGGGCCCTGCTGCAGCTCCTGCGCACCGAGGAGCTGCTGGCGCTCACCGACACCGTCACCAGCCGCCTGGTGCACCCGGAGAGCCGCCAAGGTGCGCGGGCAGCGCCGGGGCCGCCGGGCCGGGGCCTGCCGAGCGGGGCCGGGGCCTGCCGAGCGGGGCCGGGGCCTGCCGAGCGGGGCCGGGGCCTGCCGAGCGGGGCCGGGGCCTGCCNGGGCCGGGGCCTGCCGAGCGGGGCCGGGGCCTGCCGAGCGGGGCCGGGGCCTGCCGAGCGGGGCCGGGGCCTGCCGAGCGGGGCCGGGGCCTGCCGAGCGGGGCCTGCCGAGCGGGGCCGGGGCCTGCCGAGCGGGGCCGGGGCCTGCCGAGCGGGGCCGGGGCCCCGCGGCCGCGGCTGTCCCGGGGGACCCGGGGCTCGCAGGGCTCGCAGGGCTCGGGGTCGCTGCCGGAGCCTCCTCCTGCAGCAGCTCCGGGGCTTGGCTGCCCGGAGCTTCGGCTTGTTCAGGCCCAGGGAATTGCGGTGGCGCGGGGCTCTAGCAAACCTTGCGCACTACGCGCATCTCTTCCTTCTCAGAGCCCCGCAGTGAGCTGTGAGCGCGGCTGTGCCCTTAGTGCTTAAAAGTATTGACAGCTCACGAGTCCCACGCTGTTGGTGTCAGTCACATTTGCTTTCAGGTTTTGAAAGGCTAAAATACGAATCTACATTGAACTTAATTTTTTTTTGCAAGATGCTTCCGGTTGTGAGCATCCTCCATCACTTTGTTGAGATTTGTTTCATAATAATTCATTTTTTATGGGAGTTACCTGAGGCCACTGGGTTTGTTGCCCAGTGGCCTCAGGTATATATATGTACTCATATATATGTACACCTGATGAGTATATATATAGAGATATATACTCATCCTAAAGCCTTGAACGTGTTTCATGTGATGTAACTAAAATCTGTAAGATTTGCTCAATACGTTTGTTTAAAAGGTATTTTGCCTGTAGTTTTTTTTTTTTTTTCCTCTACCTTTTTTCCCCTATTTTTTGCAGTGGTTGTAAGTAAATTAAAAGTTTTTTGTGTTTTGCTTTAGCTATTTCTTTCTGGTTAGATTTAGGGTTTTTATAGGTCCCCTGTTAAGTGCTGGCCTCAGTTCAGGTGGGAACTGTCTGCTGCAACTGCTTTAAAAGTGAATTTAAGTTTGTCATGTTTCCTTGTTCTGCCACAGAGCCTTGTAGCTGGATTTTGTTTATTGTTGCTGTTCAATGCGCTGTTGTGCTAGGATGCATTTTCTTATGAACGTGGGAGTTGTAATCACTTTGGTGTGGAAATAAAACAGATTTAGTTCATTTCCAGCAGGCTTCAGGAAGGAGGTAGAACCTCATTATCTCAAACTACTGTGCATTGCTGAAGCACTTCACTGGAACTCTTGTCCAAGAAGCATATTTGCAAGCCTTTGAGTGTATTCTGTGTGATATGATGAGGCCAGATTTCAGTTTCCAGACAAACTTTCAATTTCTTCATGTCCTGCCACCTTGTCTTCTACTGTGTTTGGAGGTCAGGATTTTAAGAAATGGTTTAGCTTTGGGGTTTCATTGTGAAAGAAGGTAAGTCATAACTTCAATGTCTTTCTTTACAGAGGCCATTGATGCCGTTCTGATGTACAGCCAAAACGTGGAAGAACTTCTGAGGCGCAGGAAGATCTGCAGGGAAATCATCTTCAAGTATTTGGCAGCACAGGGAGTCGCCGTGCCTCCCTCCTCGGAGAAGCACGTCCTGATCGAGCGTGTGAGGCAGCTCTGGAGCAGGCAGCTCACGGCTCCAGCCCCGGAGCCCGGGCATAGAAAACCTCCTCCGCAGGTGAGTGCTGCTGCTGCCCAAAATCCTCGGGCTGCTCAGCGCTGCCTCCACAGCATGACCGCTGCAAATGTGGCTCTGCACCTGTAGGAAGGTCCCAAACCTTTTTAATTCTTGCTCAGTTTGGTTTTAGTTGGGTTGGTTTGGTTGGTTTTTAAATTATAACATCTGGAGGTGTCTACTGTGTTTTTCACAGTATTTGAACTCTAATGT